TCCACGTGACATGCAATTTCCCTTCAACAAGGGAACTCCCCCCCCCAAAAAGCACCACAATTATCTTTTAGAGGACAAGCCCTTGTAGTACATTAGGAATTTGTTCCTGTGGATCCAACAGTCAACCAGTTTTTATCTGGAGGTTTTGAGAAGGTCACGTCATGATTTGTGGAAGATATGTCCGAGTTGTGGCCAACAGGTGACTGGTGCTTCTACCACCACAACACACCTGAGTGTGCAGCAGTTTTTGACCAAAAATGGCCTCACCCCTGTGCCCATCCTCCCTATTCACCTGGTCTCACTCCATGCAGCTTTTTGTGTTTGTTTGTTTCCCCGGATGAAAAAAGTCCTTAAAGGGAAATGTTTGGCTGAGGTGGAAGAGGCCTTCAAAGGCGTCAAAATGGATGAGTTCAAAAACTGTTTTGGGCAGTGGAAAAAGCATCTCAATAGGTGTCTTGCATCAAACGAGGAGTGCTTTGAAGGTGACTGAAATGTAAACATGTAGGAATAAATGCACAACTTTCTATAAATAAATTAACAGTTTTTTGGGTCCCCCCTCATAGCAACCGATGCTGCAGGTAAGAGCGAGATGAGGTAGAGACATCGGCTGGGAGGCGATGTCATTCCCAGGCGGGGATGGCCTTCTTTGATGAAGCCCCCACAGGCCTGGGGTTGAGTCCTTAGCTTTGCAAGTCTCAGAAACTTGTATTTATTCATTTTTCAGTGGGTCCCGAGTTGTTCAATATTTCAGGGTGGTATTGTGCTCACCAAACTCATAAGAGACACTTGTCAATGAGTCAGAATGCCAGTGTATCACCTTACAAGCAGGAATATACATGCTGTGGGAGACCCAAACACGGGCTGGCTGAGCTATGCATTTTCCACTCTGTAGACATTTACATGGGAAGACAAATTACATCATGTGGATTGCTGGGTGACATGATTGTGGGGTGGAGTGTCTGTGCAGCCGGGGGTAGAAAAGGGGTGGGGAAGGGTTTTTTTTGAGTCAGGATCTCACTCTGTCCCCCTGTCTGGAGTGCAGTGGCCACTCCCGGCCACCGCAGCCTTGACCTGCTGGGCTCAGGCAATCCTTCCAAGTAGCTGGAACTACAGGTGCATGCTGCCACGCCTGGCTAATTTTTTGGTTTATTGTAGAGATGAGGTCTCACCAAGTTGCCCAGACTGGTCTCGAACCCATGGGCTCAGGCAATCCTCTCATCTCGGCCTCCCAAAGTGCTGGGGTTCATTCTGGTTTATCTTGAGGTCAGTACCTTGAACCTCACCACTTTGGGGATATACGCCCTTGTGGCTGGGCAGTACAGCATCCTGGGCAGTGATGGTAGACGGACTTGGTGTTCCTCTTTGGGTACTCTTTTTGAAACTCTTTGCCGGCACCCGAGAATCCTTTCTTCCCTCAGGCAGGACACGATGTAACTGGCAAGGCCAATGCTGCAGTCCTGCTTAGAGAGCGCCAGTCCCCTGAGGATGTTTGGTCGCCAGGCTTGGCCTCTGAGCGTCTCCCAAACTCGTCGGCTGCCATTTATAGACTTTGGCTTAGTGGGAGCTAGTGTACTCATTGAGTGATAATTTTTTTAAATTTAAAAAAGCATTTTATTTTATAATAGAGATTTGGGGTGCAAGTGAGTCTTAGCTACACAAGCAGGCTGCACACGGGTGGAGTTTGGACCTCCAGTGGGCTCTCGCCTCCCCGGTTTAGGACCAGGTACCCTGTGTGATGCTGTGTGTCCCCCAATCAATTTTTAGTCATTTCATTGTCAGAGGAAAACTTATGTCTTGGTGACTCTGTCCCCAAATATGGGTCAAAATCAATATGCAAAATCCTTAGTCACTCTGGCATCAATTCTCAGAAGCAAGGCAGGGCTTGGCTGGAGACGGGAACTCTAGGCTCCAAGTCAGTAAGGCTGCAGGCCGCTTGAGGTCTGTGCCCTGAGAGCTTGGCACAGACCTCAGCCCCTGGCCTGTCCTGTGATTCCCCACTGGGGTTTCGTTGTCTTGGGTTCCCTTTCCTCACTCACCCCTTGTCACAAACGGCCACCACATGGAGTCCCCAGTGGAGGGAATTCACCACATTTGCACAGATTATCAGCTGGTAGCCCATGGTTGGAATCTTACTCGCAGGTCTCTTTCATTTTTGCCACTCTGTTGTTTTTGAAAGTTTGACTTAAAGTAGGGCACGGCGCCTCATACCTGTCATCCAGCATTTTGGGAGGCTGAGGTGGGAGGATCACTTGAGATGTCAGGAGTTTGAGACCAGCCAGCCAACACAGCGAGACTTTGTCTTAAAAAAAAAAAAAAAAAAAAA